GGATAACCTGAGCCACTCTAACTAGAAGCTTTATCAAAAAGGAAAGTTTTAAGCCTAGCCTTAAAAGTAGACAGGGTGTCTGCCTCACGGACTAACAGGGTTAAGACTGTTATTTATTTGTCTGTGAACAAATATGTTTAAAAGTATAAAATATCTTCTTAATCTTGGCATGATAAATATGGGAGATGTACTAAACCAAAACTTGAAATTGCAGCTCTCTGAGAAGAAGCAACGAGTAATTTTAGAAAATAAAAATCTATGTTTTATGCATCCACAGACTGAAGTAATGAGTTTGTTTTGGTTTTAAACATAGGTTTGGCCTCATGACTCATAAAGTACACCATCATAAAACCATAAACTCATTATCTTTGCTCACCATTTTAACTTCAGTACCAAACTGTTGGGTGGGAGCCAGAGCAGGTATTTTTAGGCGTGTTTTTGCTCGATGATGTAATTTCCTGTGGTGGTCAGGGTGTGCTTCACTGATAAGAGAAAGGCATGTGGTTCCAACCTGCCTCACCTTTGCCCACACAGGCACTGAGCTTTATCTCCCTTTCCTTTTCTGCTCAGACACACTCAGCCTTTATTTGTTGGTTCCTACTAACAGAAACCCTCCCAGCAGCCACTTCTTTCCTGCTTGTCATTGTTGTGGCGTCTCCACGGAAACGCAGCAACAAATCAGCAGGTATTGGCAAAAGCCGTGACTCTTTGTTCTCCTAAAGCAGAATTAAGAACTTTAAAATAAAGTAAAGGCCGGTTAGTTAAAGTGGCACCAGTGTTCTTTATGGGGGACTCCACTGGTCTGGCCAGTACTCTGTCTGGTTCACAACCAGGCTGGTTTTAAAATGTTTAGAATTACTTCTTTTAATGAGTCACATTTCAACACATTTAGCTCCTTATCTGCACATAAACATGAGGGCAGCGCTGTGAAAACAAGAAACTCGGGTAGCAGCTCACAGAGGCAGACGAACACATTGCAGCCAGACAACATAGAGCAGCTTTGAACGAAGCAAACAAAATGAAACGATTCGATTTCCAGTTTGAGCATCATGTCCTCCTCTATGGACATCATGCCCTGTTGCAAAACGATAGGTCCTGAAAATATGCGTCCGTTAATCAGTCATGTTGAAGCTTCAGCTGTTTATTTGTGCTTTAGGTCTTGGGATGGAAAGGGTGACTTTTAGAACAATTGTTCAGAAACGTTGAGTTCAGGATGTGTCAAAGGTCAATAATGAGGAGTGCTGCTCACCAACAGGATGTTTGCTCCCACAGACGTATGCACTCTTGCACAAGCATATTGTTACATCCCCAAGGAGAAAAGGAAAGCTAGAAAAGTGGGAGTCAGAGGAGATTCATTTGAAATGAGGCGTAAACGAAAGGAACAGTTGGGGAAAGTGAGGAGTCTGAAGATGGGATCAGAAAAAAAACAACTGCAGCAGAACCAGATCATGGAGGAATCCTGATGTCGTAACTTCTCCTCTGAGGCACTGTTTCATTATTGTGTCACCGTGGGTGCGGCTGCCGCCTCCCAAACCTGAGCTGATGAAACATGTTTGGAGCATAGCGGGTGGTGGTGCGGAGCTGGAGAAAACCTGGGTGGATCAGAGGATTTCCAAACTTGAATCCTGCTGAGCTCATCAGGGATTTCTCTTGCACCAGCTTGCAGAGACGAATGAAGGTGTTCAGACCGCTCCGCTGCTTGTGAGGGGTTTAAAGTCCACCTTGGTTTCCTGGACTCTGTTGGGTAGATGTAGAAACCAAATTGGGGTGTCTTCTGGCTCAATAGACCCAGTGCTCCAAGTACCGGGTCATTGCTGCCGACACCTGTTTGTCCCTGTCGTCAATCTCCTTCATTAAATGTCAGATTTTAATGGAAAATGAAAATGTGTGCAAAATATAATGAAGTTACTTTACATCTCCATCAAAATAAGAACCTGCCGGGGAGGGCCTTCCCTTCCCTGGCCTGGTCCGAGGTAGTTTTTGTCCTGGTGGTCCTTTCCCGCTCTGCTCCCGTCTGTTTATGCAGGAGTATTTTTGCAGCCGTTTTGTTCTTCCAAAGGGCCGGAGGCTACTGTGGACCACTGG